ATGGATCAAAGACGCTCTGGAGGAAATAGTAGCCAAAGGAACTGAACATCTCCAGCCCAGTGATCAAGTTGGATTCACTTTCTGTTCCAAAGACTTTACCCGCGGTCAAGGGTGGATAGCTTTTAAATCGTTTTCCGACGTTTCAAATGAGGACATATGGGAGAAGATATCTTCCATCTATCAGTCAAATTCTGTGGGGTTGAATACCGAGACTTTTTGCTTGGGAGTTACGTCCATAAGGTTGCCTGCTGGTCGTGGTAGAGGTCAGAATTTCAATACTTTGATGAGGAATGCGCCAAAAGAAGAAGGCATTATCACCGTTAAAAACACCGATAATTTGTGTCTCCCACGAGCCCTTGTCATCGCCATGGCCCATTTGAACAAAGACAAAGATTATAGCAGAATCCGCCTCGATCGAGGAAAAATACAAGGACAAAGAGCTGCACAACTTGTGGAAAAGGCTGATATTGTTATCCCTGAGGAGGGGTGTGGAATACCTGAACTTCAAAAGCTACAACGATATCTGCAAAACTACAAAATTGTTGTATACAAGTTTGGGTGCAAAGGTCGTGACGTCATTTTTGAAGGCGTGTCCACTGGTCGACGCTTAACCTAATCTATCACGAGGGGCACTACAGCGTCATAACATCCCTCACTGCTGCCTTTTGCTGCAGCTTTTTTTGTGAGAACTGCCACATTCCGTATAATACTAAACAAATTCATAGATGTGATAAACAATGTTATGCTTGTAAAAGATCTCCGGCCTGCCTGAAAACGAAGCACATCAATGCAAAGAATGTAATAGAAGCTTTTATGGACAAGAATGTTTTAACGCTCATTTACCATCGGTCTGTTCTAAAATTAAAAGATGTGTAGACTGTTTTAAAGTTCACAACGGTAATGATCACATCTGCGGACATATACTTTGTAAAACATGTTATAAAAATCAACCAATTGAACATATGTGCTATATACAGCCTGACAGAAGTATTCCAAATCAAATGATGTCTTATTAATATTTTACGATTTGGAAACCCGTCAGGAGAAGGAATTACCCAATGGATCTTTACTGCATGAGCCAAATCTATGTGTATTCAAACAATGTTGTGAATCATGTACCGATAATCCTATATGCAAGAAATGTGGCCTTCGATACAGATTCTTCGATGTCAAGACGTCATTTCTCCATTTATGCATCATATTCTGACACTTCGTAAAAAATTCAAGAAAGTCATTGTACTGGCGCATAATGGTGGAGGATTTGATCATCAGTTTCTACTTCGTTACATTTTAGAGAAGACTAGTCTGTACCCGAATGTAATTATGAGAGGAACAAAATTAATATTGATGGAGGTAGGAAATGTAAAATTTCTGGATTCTCTCAATTATTTTCCTATGCCTCTAACTGCTCTACCCAAGGCGTTTGATTTGAAAGAGCTAAAGAAAGGATACTTTCCACATCTATTCAACACTTTTGGCTCATCAGAATTATCTAGGGCCAACTCCAGCGCTCACTTCTACGATCCCGACCATTTTAAAAGAAGACACTCGAGAAAATTATTAAAATGGCATGGCAAAAGACAAGCGGAGGGATACGTTTTTGATTTTCAGAAAGAAATCGTTGAATACTGTATCTCCGATGTGGAAATATTGACACAGGCGTGTCTCAAATTTCGAGACCTGATGAAAACCGAAACCACAGTCGATCCCTTCCAGGAAAGCACCACTATTGCAATCATGCTGTAACAAAGTCTTTAGACGCAATTTTTTAAAACCTGAGACGATCGGGGTAATTCCAAAAGGGGGCTATAGATGGCGTGAAAATCAGTCAAAAATTGCCATCCAATGGATGTTGTGGGAGGAACATCAAAGAGGAATCAAAATTCAACACGCCGCTAAGGGTATAGAAAACCATTGTTAAGGGACATAAAGTAGACGGTTTTTGTAGCGACACAAATCAAGTGTTTGAATTCCAAGGATGCTATTTTCACGGTTGCCCTCGATGTTTCAAATACAACAGAAGCAATCCTCTGCATAATGATCCGTTGAATACATTGGAAAGTCGATACGAACAATCAGTTAGCAAAGTAGAGAGACTCCGAAGCCTTGGACTAGAAGTAATTGAGATATGGGAATGTCAATTTCGAGGAATGCTAAACGATGAAATTAGAGCCTTCACAGAAGCACATCCATTGATAATCAATTTACCGATTAACCCCAGAGACGCTCTCTACGGGGGACGTACAGAAAATATCGTTGAATACTACAAGATCAAAACAAATGAATGCATAAAATATGTCGATATATGTTCCCTGTACCCCTTCATCTGTAAATATGGAAAATTTCCGGTGGGTCATCCAAAAAAATTTACGTAGGTGAAGAATGTGTTACAGCCTCTCTGTCGCAGATGTCAGGACTTATTAAATGCCAGATTCTACCGAACCAGAACTTATATCACCCCGTTTTACCGTCAAAAATGAACAACAAATTGATGTTTGTTAACTGTCAAAAATGTGGTGAAGATTTCGTTCGAGAAGAGTGTCAGCATTCTATTCAAGAAAGAAGCCTAAAAGGAACTTGGGTGATAGAAGAGGTGCTCAAAGCTATTACCAAATTATAGAGACTTACGAAATATGGGAATACGATACAATTCAGCTCAGTAAAGACAAGAGGGGTTATTTAGCGGAATGATGAACAAGTTTCTACAAATAAAACAACAAGCTTCAGGATGGCCCAAACATTGCTTAACGGATGAAGAAAAAAACCGTTATATTGATGCATTTTTGGATACAGAGGACATAAAGCTGGAATTTTCAAAAATTATAGAGAACCCCTGTTTGAGATCGTTAGCTAAACTTATGCTGAATTCTTTTTGGGGTAAATTTGCTCAAAAGAAAACCAAAACAAAACCTCGATAGTCAGAGACTGTGGTGAATTCTTTGATATGCTGACTAATCCTTCTATTCATGTAAATACAGTTCTCCCGGTAAACGAAGAAACCCTTCTCGTAACTTGGGAATTTAGAGAAGAGGTGTATGACGTTTCTTCAACGGTTAACGTTGTATTGGCTTCATACGTCACGGCCCTAGCTAGACTAAAATTATATTCATTCTTGGAGAAAGTGGAAGAAAGGGCAGTTTACGTAGATACAGATTCATGTATTTATATCTCTCGTAAGGGATTAGACGACATATCTACAGGCGACTTCATAGGTGATATGACCGATGAGCTCAATGGGGGTTTCATATCAGAGTTTGTTTCTGGAGGACCTAAGAACTACGCCTACAAATATACTACTTTGTCTGGAGAGGAACAGATCGTATGTAAAGTAAAAGGCATATCACTCAACTACAAGGCATCCCAAGTGGTCAATTTTGAGAAAATAAAAGACATGGTGCTGAAGAAATCTGTTCCTGTTTCTGTACTTTCTCGACAGCTACGACGTACAAGAGAGCATGCAGTAGTAACAGTCGAGTTTCCTAAGGTATACAAGATAACTTCAATGAAAAGGAAATTCTATGCAGATCATACCTCTGTACCATTTGGATTTAAGAAAATAAAATATTGATTTGTTAATGTATGTAAATATTTTTTAATAAACATGTAAAATAAAATGTATGCAAATGATTTTTTGTTTTTTATTTCCCGCCTAATTGAAAAATATTTTTGCACCCAAAATTGTTCAGCCTTTTTACTCCATATAAAAATATTTAAAAGTATGCATTCTTATTATTAAACGCCTGCAGTAATATACACCAAAAAAAATTGAGAAGCAGTATAACCATGTAGAACTTTGTATAATCACAAAAAACATACCTTGAAAAATAAAAAATACAGCAGATTCATAAGCAGTGTAGAGAGGGAACTACGTAAAAGTAATCGATTATTACTAATAAAATAGAGTTTTGAATTCCTATTTTTGCAATAATAATCATTTTACTATTTTACGTGTTTGGCACTGCACTGCACGGGTACCAACACTGTACTGCCCGGGCACGAAAAATTGAGAAGCATGATAACCATGTAGAACTTCGTATCACTACGTAAAGAATAAAATGGTTATTACGAAAAGTAGAAATAAAAACTCTATTTTCGATAATAGCTATACTATTTTTTATGAGCACCGAAAAAATTGAGAAGCACGATAACCTCGTAGAACTTCGAAACAGCACCAGGGACAACCGAAGGCTACAGAAAAAAACACATACTGAAAAGGCATAACATCTATCAGCGCTGGTATTCGAAAATACTGTTTCCTTTGACATTCGTTGGGATATGAAAACACATATTTGCTTTCCACCGTTATAACGGAAATAATGGTTACTGCAAAAGCAGCTTCACGGTAAGACCATACATTAATCTACAAAGTTGATAATAAAACATATGTACTATTAAAATGCAGATATTTTTAAAATTATACAATTAAAAAATCAAAATAATATATTATAAATGGCAGGGGATACAGGGTAAACACCGAAATACACTTAATTTAGAATAGTTACTTATAATCTCCTCAGTTCTTTGGTCAGCCGTTTGGACAATTTACCGGTGGGTCCTCTATTTTTGTGCATGTAAAAGGTTAGACTATGGCGCTAGCAAAAGAAAACAAAATGCAACAAAGTAGAGTCACTTAATATTCTTGTTGAAATTACGGATAGAATATGGTAGAAAGTAACAATCAGATATTGTAGAAGCCATGTAATTGTTTATTTGTTGAGGAAAAAGTATTTTTCATACGCTGACCATGTTTATATCCGCTTGGTACGCGACCAGATTTTTTCCAAACCTTTGCCCGTAGGGTTCATGAGCCGACGACCAAATGCGACGTCGAAGGGGCATTTTTGGCCAAATTCGGTCGAAACCGATGCTGCGTTCGTACCCTAGGCTAGAGCCTACGGACAGCGACTCAAACTTAATTTTAATTGATTTGCAAAGATCTTGCTAGAACACTTGAGCTAGTGATTATATGCAATTTATCGGTGACGAGCTTTCCTCTAGCATATCTTGATTTATTCAAGCGAATCAATGAGAAACTAGTGAATAAAATTACCTGACAGCCATAGTACAAGTTGGTATATCTACACCTTCTTCTCTTACATTTGGCGCCACTAAAATGTTAATCTCCTTGTTTCTAAAAACGATCAAGTACTTATCTGTTCTTCTTATTAATCGGAAGTGATTCTACGGTGCTATTAAAAGAGTTTCCGTTATATCCCACAACGAAATCCGGCTTTATATGTCTGAACTCTGGTACATGTTCACTCAAATCTTTCAGTACATGGTGCAATATTTTTGGCAGTTGATCTTTCCTTCGTGAATACTAAACCACAAATTTCCTCGTTTGAAGATGAACTGTTGAAAAGTGTGACGTTTATATTAGTATTAATATCTATGACATTTACTTTTTTTAAAATAGTTAAATACTACGATAAACTGGGAATGTGGGATGAAGCAGAAATGTTTCTGTAACCCAATTTAGGTATGTATAGCAAGTCTTACGCAAGACAATAATAAAAACAGATAGAATTTGAGGGCGATTCTTGGAAGAAAAATTCATAGTATTTCTAAGGCAGCACCGACCGGAATGCTATAATTTTAGCATACATTTACATGTTTTAGGTCTAATGATAAATAGAAAGTGATTAAAATTTTAACTTCAATTTTCGTAAAATAGCTGAGATATGCCATCTTGCAGTACCCTAGAATGAAATACCCGACAGGTTATCGATTACCTGATAGTCTGGGTTCTCGCCTCTAGATGGCGCTACATACAAACGTCATCTGTCAAACGTTATGTGTATCATTGATAAGTGTGAGTTGTGTCTCTAAGCGCTAGATGGTGTCGATGTCGCACTGGTGTCGTAGAGTGACCCACATACAGGGGTCGATAGAAATTTTTGGGGGCCCTACCGACGGGCCGATGTACCGACGGGTCGATGAACCGACGGTATATCGTCAGATCGAAATAAGCTCCATTCACATGGGAGGTGTGTGTGGAACTGCTCGTGGGAGACACGGCACCTTGTCGTATATACCAAGACGTGTCCTAAAATGGTGCTACCCATTGGTCGCTCCGCCATACAGGTCGGTCAGACAGAAGTTTTTGGGACCGGGGTGCTCTGATTGGTGGATCAGACGGCGGGAAATTTGAACGGTGTTGATGGTATAGTTGAATGGTGGACGGCGGAGTCGGGTGCGTTGGTAATCACCTATGTCGCAAATGAGGTTAGATAGATAGTCGTTCAGCGAAGGTGTTGTCGTAGCAGTAGCAAGAAGTACTGCGCGCGGGGGTGTCAACGAGTTAATACTGGCCAACGATAACAGCGGTGACCCTGGAACACTGTTGTCACACGGTTGCAATAGATGATAGGTTATCTCTTAATCTTCGTAAACAACGATTTTTCTAAAGTGGTAAAAACAGGTCGAAATTTTAAATACCTATGAATCACCGCAAATTATTTTGTCAGTTATCTGCTGCGAACAAAACATGCTCAGCTCAGACTTATCTAAAAAGTGGTGGGAAAATCGATATTATAAAAATATTTATGAATCACCGCAAATTCTCTTAGACGTGCTCTTATCAGTTCAGACTCAGTTAAAAGTGGTGGGTAAAATCGAGATTATAAATACCTATGAGTCACCGCAAATTACCTTGTCAGTTATCTGCAGCGAACAGACGTGCTCAGTTCAGACTTAGCAATTCCCAACGCTCCTCCGTGGCCATTCCCCTTACCCTCTCGCGAGTG